TCATCGTCCGATGAGTCCGACATTTTGCTTGATCTGCTTTAATCGGCTTCCTTTATGTAGGAAGGATCGGCGCCGATAGGCGCCGATAAGCGCCGATCGGCTTTCGGCTTTCTTTCTGTATACGGCCTAAGGGTACGGCCAGAGTGCACTCAGATTCAGACTCAGAAAACAAGCGCGAGAAATATACAGTGTAGTTTAAGCAGGTTGCCTGCGGTCACTATGGCCACCCTGCTTTAACTACACTGTTTATTTCTCGCGCTTGTTTTCGGAATCTGAATCTGACTCTGAATCTGAGTGCACTCTGGCCGCACCCTAACATAGGGTACGGTCAGAGTAGGGATGTAAAGTCTTTTGAAATATCGATATACATATCGATATTTATATCGAAGTCAGGAAAATATCATATCCGATATATCGACCATTTTAACTCGATATTATCGATATATTTTCCTTTTTATTTTTCATTGACATTAGAATACGGGGTGAGTGTGACACATTCATATGTTGGCGAGTTTCTAGCAAAACGCATTGAGCCAGCTTTTTCGTTAAACACGCTTGATGAAATCGCGCCAAGCAGGATTTTTTTTATTGGCTCGCACGGTTTGTGTTTCATCCACGACAGGAAACCAAAAAAATAAAGTTATTATCCTGATCAGATCACTCACATTCGTTAGCGCCAACCCGCATATGTGGGACGACATTTGCGAATGCCTTCGCTAAGTTTTGACTACATTCGTGCTTATCCAAGCTATGTCGGTTTTTAGCGCACATCAAATACGCACATTGCTTAGTCTCCCACACATCAGGGGCGTGCCCATGGCTTCAGAATAGGGTAAGCCCAAAGCTTCCAAAATGACTATAACTATCTTACTTTCTTGACTTGGCGAGCTTAAAAAATTTACGATTTGTATAAATTTCTTAATTTTATTTTGTGTTATATTACAATGATATTAAGTTTCATTTAATCAGTAGTTGACAATCATCTAGAAAGAGAGGCAAGGATTTTATTTAAGTGCATGAGTTACCATTAGGTATACGATTATACCTATATACGTTGGTGTCGATTCTAGCATGATTATCTAAACTTAAAACTAAATTTAACATCAGTCTCTCCTTTTCATTCTGTATAAAGAATGACAAGGCTACACTATCGTCAGTTTTAATTTTAGGTTTAAAGAATCATGCCAGAATCCACACCAGTTTAGTATATTTCTTGGGGTTCAAGATTTTTAATACATCTATAAGCTCTTGCGATTTCAAAGCAATAGTTATTTCGATATTATTCTATTTAGATAGTCATAGCAGGTAAATTAATTGATATTATTGTGTTCAAATTTAGTCTACGACATATCGATATTTTGGAATTTCCGATATCGATATTATCGATATCAGTGAATTCTAAATATCGATATTTTGGTCTCGATATTATCGATATTCCGATATATCGTTTCAACCCTAGGCCAGAGTTCAGATTCAGATTCCCAAAACAAGCGCGAGAAATAAACAGTGTAGTCTAAGCAGGTTGCCTGCTTTTTCTCGCGCTTTGTTTTCTGAGTCTGAATCTGAATCCGGAGTGCACTCTGGCCGTACCCTTCGACTACACTGTTTATTTCTCGCGCTTGTTTTCGGAATCTGAATCTGAGGGCACTCTGGCCGTACCCTATGTCTGAATCTGAATCTGAGTGCACTCTGGCCGTACCCATAGGGTACTTTTTTATGGTAATTTTATGCTGCAATTCAGGTTCATGTTCCTTCTAAACCTTGGTTTTTCAACATGAAGTTTGGTAAAACGGAGACGTCCGTTATTAATAGAATGAGACTGGGCCATACGTCTGTGCCTTCCCATCTTGCCAAACTCAATATAATAAATGATCCTAGGTGTGACTGCGGGTTCGATGAGGGAAATGTTGATCACATTGTGTTTTCCTGTCCTCTATTCCATAGATCCCTACTTTTTAAGGAAAGGTATATGAAGGGATAATAAATCCCTTCATATACCTTTCCCAACCAATATAGCTACACTTCTACATACTAATAACCTGTGGGTGCGGCCAGAGTGCACTTAGATTCAGATTCAGATTCCGAAAACAAGCGCGAGAAATAAACAGTGTAGTCGAAGGGTACGGCCAGAGTGCACTCCTGATTCAGATTCAGATTCAGACTCAGAAAACAAAGCGCGAGAAAAAGCAGGCAACCTGCTTAGACTACACTGTTTATTTCTCGCGCTTGTTTTCAGAATCTGAATCTGAGTGCACTCTGGCCGCACCCTAAAGGCGGTTCTGACCATGGACGCACTATATGTAAAGGACCCTACATGTGTCTCAAATATTGCCGCTGTCGTTGGTCGTACCGGTACAGAAAAGAAAACTTGGTCCGCGTCTATGGTCTGCATAAATGGCAATCATGGCATGGCAACATTTTTACCAAATTTCTAAATAAATATATATATAAATTTTCTAATAAATTCCTATTGGTCGATGGTCGATCACTAAAGTAAAGTGCAGGTATTTCATATGGTAGCCATACACACTACGAGAAATCGTTACGATCAGACTGTACAGTTCGAACGGAACAGTTTATCGTACGTAGCGTACGTATAGGAAACTGTGCAGTTTTATAACATACACGCTACGATTTATCGGTACCGTTCGGACGGTACAGTCTAATCGTAACGATTTCTCGTAGTGTGTATGGCTAGCATTAGGTGGATTCCACAGGTGTTTGTTTATTTAAACTTCAGTTTTGTTCTGTCAAAAAATAGGCTACCAGAGCAAATGAGCGTTATCCATAATAATATTGTAATTATTATTACACTTTTGATTAGACATGGGCGTTTTTGGTTTTGAACGCAAACGGATATATATCGGATTTCAGATTTCAAAATCGATTTCAAAATCCGTTTTTAGATATCCGATTTCAGATGTGCCTAACTTAGCCAATTCACTAGTTTGTGTTAAGATTTGGTTTTATTAGCTAACGACAATAACAAACAATTAATTAACGATATTTTGAAAACCAACACAAAACTCGTCTAATCAATTAAAAAGTCAACAGTTAAAAAAAAACAAATTAAAAACGTCTTTTTCTCGGTAGAATATTTATTGATAAGAATATAATTAAATTGCACAATAGGAACAAGGAATTGAATGAAAATAAGAATAAGAATTTACTTGCACGCGTGGGTCACACATTACCTGCGCGTGGTGCACCAGCCTGGTGTGGTCGTATAGCGCGGCGTGGTAGGTGAAGCATGCCCGGCAGGTGGGGCACGCGTGGGTCACACATTACCAGCGCGTGGTGCACCAGCCTGGTGTGGATGTATAGCGCGGCGTGGTAGGTGAAGCATGCCCCGCAGGTGGGGCACGCGTGGGTCACACATTACCTGCGCGTGGTGCACCAGCCTGGTGTGGTCGTATAGCGCGGCGTGGTAGGTGAAGCATGCCCCGCAGGTGGGGCACGCGTGGGTCACACATTACCTGCGCGTGGTGCACCAGCCTGGTGTGGTTGTATAGCGCGGCGTGGTAGGTGAAGCATGCCCCGCAGGTGGGGCACGCGTGGGTCACACATTACCTGCGCGTGGTGCACCAGCCTGGTGTGGTTGTATAGCGCGGCGTGGTAGGTGAAGCATGCCCCGCAGGTGGGGCACGCGTGGGTCACACATTACCTGCGAGTGGTGCACCAGCCTGGTGTGGTCGTATAGCGCGGCGTGGTAGGTGAAGCATGCCCCGCAGGTGGGGCACGTGTGGGTCACACATTACCTGCGCGTGGTGCACCAGCCTGGTGTGGTTGTATAGCGCGGCGTGGTAGGTGAAGCATGCCCCGCAGGTGGGGCACGCGTGGGTCACACATTACCTGCGCGTGGTGCACCAGCCTGGTGTGGTCGTATAGCGCGGCGTGGTAGGTGAAGCATGCCCCGCAGGTGGGGCACGCGTGGGTCACACATTACCTGCGCGTGGTGCACCAGCCTGGTGTGGTTGTATAGCGCGGCGTGGTAGGTGAAGCATGCCCCGCAGGTGGGGCACGCGTGGGTCACACATTACCTGCGCGTGGTGCACCAGCCTGGTGTGGTTGTATAGCGCGGCGTGGTAGGTGAAGCATGCCCCGCAGGTGGGGCACGCGTGGGTCACACATTACCTGCGCGTGGTGCACCAGCCTGGTGTGGTTTTTAACTATAGAAATATATTTTGTTTACTAAAACATTGTACATGTAAACTTAAACTTAACACGAGAGACTCATCGTAACGTTACCGAGCGTTACACTTTTTCATAAGTGACTCCCAGCCGCAACCTAATTTAAGACGTTGTCACGTCAAAATTTCAATAATATGTGGGTACACAATTTACTAAGTTGACTTATTATTATTATCTTTATGAACTCTGAACTCCAATCCAGTCTTAACAAACACGTAATTAATAATTATCTAAACCCGGCAAACAAAAATCACTGACTGACATGCGTGCACTTGCATATCAAGGTCAAATTTGCATCTAAACAAAAGCACCAAGTTTTTGTAGTAAACAAACGCACGCTAAGATATAAGCCAAAATACATCACCTCACAGCCTAGTCACGCAAATATAGTCTTTAAGTACTGTGTCGTAAGACTATATTGATCGCACATATTCAATGGCAATAGATTTCCGTAAACAAGAAATCCAAATCGGACTTCCGAAATTCGCGGCATCTTTTTTACTCCGCTTTGTTACGATTGGTAAGAAAGAGACAAAGCGAATTTTACTGACGTTCGAAATTGTAAACAAATTCGCTTTCTCTCTTTCTAACCAATCGCTACAAAGCGGAGAAAAAAAGATAGCACGAATTTCGAATCCGATTTACATTTGGATACGTGATCGCTAGCGTTTTGGTTCGGTTAGATTTCTGAAATCGGATTTTCTAGTTGAGAAATCGTTCGGTATCGATTTGTGTTTGAAATCGGATTTTGGATTCGTTTTGATATATCGGACGCATGCCTACTTTTGATGTTAAAACAAAGCCTAGCAATGGTTTCAACACATTTTAAATGTCTTGGTGGTGTATATCCCCGGTCAACCATTGAGAGGTTCCCGGTGCCAGGTGATAAAGTTAAATGGTCTACCGAATACAAGCAATATCAGCCTGTGGAATACACATCCCCAAGCATCACTGGGAAACCATGGGCTGATCCAGATATAGGTACAACAACCACAATTGATATTTATTTAAACATATTTTTTTAATAATAATTTTATAATTATTATTAAAAAAGTAATAATTAAATTTTTTTTTTAAATAAAAAAATAATAATTTTATACCTACCAAATTAATCTTTAAAACTTGAAGTAACATTTTGTAGGAAGCTCTGATTTTGAACCAAAATGGAATGAAATAGACGGTAATATAGACAGAACCAGTTATCATGGTCCATACCAAATTGTAAATGAACGGCCCCAAAACCCATTTGGCAGAACTGGAATAACTGGTAGAGGGGTCTTAGGCCGATGGGGACCAAACCATGCAGCCGATCCAGTTGTCACAAGGTGGAAGCCCCTCAATGGAGATATCAATGAGAAAAATTCTAGTAATAAGTAAGCTTCTTATTTTAAAATTCCAATTCTTATTTTACATAGCTCAACACTTAGAACATTAATTCTAGTATGTGCATTACATTATTCTGAAATACCCAATTGCATTTTTTTTTATTTCAACATAGTTCTTTAGTTATGATTTTATATTTCTAGACAAATCTTGCAATTTGTTGCTATAAGAAGAGGTGATACAGGAGAATGGGCCTTGCCTGGTGGCATGGTAGATCCTGGGGAAAAGGTAACTACAACTGCTGTTAGGGAATTTCAAGAAGAAGCAATGAATTCACTTGTTATGTCACAAGGTAACTAAACAACCTTATGAATCAAGAATTAATGACTGGATTGTGAAATATGTTGAAAGTGAATATTTAGCTACCAGCTTCGCTAACATGATACCTGTTTATATGATATATTGAACATTTACATAAACATTTTGTTTACTCACCAATGTAGATAAACCACAAGGTTTATAGTAATCAAAAGATTTACTAGGGTTAATCTCATTTCATTCTCTTGTATTTCAGATGAGAAAAATACTTGGACAGATAAGTTAAAAAACTTCTTTAGTCAAGGTGAAATTGTGTACAAAGGATATGTTGATGATTGGCGTAATACTGATAATGCATGGATGGAGACTGTAGCTTACAATTTTCATGATGAAACTGGTGCTACAGTGGGAGCAATAGCACTTAATGCTGGAGATGATGCTGTAGGTGTTCGCTGGATTGACATCACACCAGAAATCAAATTATATGCAAGTCACGAAAGAATTGTAAAAGATGTTTTTAAAAAGCACCTAACTGCAAAGGCTCTATAAAGTTGTCATGCATTAAGTACAAGTCTTGTCATTCAAAATTAATTAAACTATCTGTCATATAAAATAAATAAAAAGGGGGTTTTAAGTGGAAACAACTTAGATTTAAAAGGGAAGATACGGCAATCGCAGCTCAAAAGTGATCCTCTTAAATTTTGGTGCATGATCACAATTCGCTCTAGTCACAATTGGACATTCAAACACGCTGCATGTACACTCAATATAACAATATTACGTATATTCTGTGTTATAACGATAAAACAAGACCTTCGATGCTTTTATAACCTCGTAAGTCCAAATAATGCTTTTATAACAAAGTAAGTACAAATAAAGGATAGTAGTTCAGACCTGATATTTTAACTACATATATGGAGTGCGTACCTAATGTACTTGCCGAAGTACAAATTTTTAATTCCCCATTTACCGGGTAGTTTTTTTATAACGGCAACACAGACACAGTCGTGCTCATTCTATATTCCATGGTCGATTCCGCCCTGTTTGACAGGTAACGTCAACTGACAGTGTCAGTGTCACTTTTTCGCAAGATGGCTACGCGGTCGGGACGACGACCAGCACGAAGTAAGATTATCTGTTTATATCCAATAAATCATTTGTTTTTTCTTTTGTTTTATAAATGAATTAGTGTATATAAATTCTGAATATTTTAAAATGAACAAAATTTAAAAGATGACTAATTTTAAGGAGATTTCTGATCGGTCAAAATAATATGTACTTGACGTGGTACGTTAGGTGTTTGTTACATAAATATTATATTACAAGTTCATCTCCTAGAAAATTAAAATAAAAACTATTTTTTGTCGTGTTCAGTTGACAAAAATGTTAAATTATAGCCTATTACCATTTATTTTGATCTCTTATACTTGACTATGATTTCGCTATATAATGTCATATAAGTAGTACGTAAGGAAGATTGTTTGCAAATTTCAGCGTTTTCTATTTTATTTAATAAGTAGGTATAGTGATGCCGTTATTCTCTGATTAAGATAAGATAATGGCCTAAATTGTCATTGAGGCTGAGTTTTTAATTGTTTTTTTTAATGAAGATTGTTTACGTTGTAATAAAATGATATTAAGAGGAAAAATATGTTTTGTTTCGATACTAAATAAATTTTTTAACTTTTATTACATTGTTTTATTACACGGTGTAAAAACCTAATGTACTCACACAAGTACAAAATATTTTCAATAAATTACTTCTTAAAAAGGTGCTTTACATAATAAACATACCGTAAAAAATACAGACAACAAGACCTCACTTCAAAAATTACGTAAAAGCGTTTTTTCTTGTCTCGGTCTGAAGTACTATTCTTGATTTGTACTTGCTATAGTACATCCGTCAGATATGACTACTGCTGCTGCTTAAAAAAACACGAGACTTACGAGGTTAAAGAACACAAATAGTTCCAAATCAAATAACAACACTTTTCATTCATAAAATTGTAAAAAAAATTTTTTCTCAAAAATCATGGTTTGTCGTGAATGTTATTTACGTAATCGCCATTTTGTTATCAAGAAAAGGACAACAATACAGCTCAGCCGTTCGCACTCGGAAGCTGATTCACCGTGTCGCTTGCTCTGCGTTGCAGTGTTGCCAACTCTACGTCTTTTTACGTAGATCTACGTATTTAAGGCCTTTTTTGCAAACCTACTAACTTCAGTCCCAGAATCTACGTATTTTCTTTATTTTTTTCAAATTTGTAAAATAACAATTCTCTAGAATAAAGGAGAATATTTTCCGTTACTTTACTTGAAAACTATACAAATGTTTATTTCCTATAAATATGTATCTAAAAACTCTTGTATCTTGTCGAAAGGGTTCCCGTTATTGGTTTTGTTGACTAAATTAATGCTGGACGCAGGATTTGTGAAAGCAGAAATGACAAAACTCTGTCTTAGTAGGTACATTCATAACCTTAAAATTTGTATTTTTAAACTTTAAATATTATTCAATGAGTACTTACAGCGAATTGATCTTTGCAAAAAGAAATGACTTTCTGTCGATAAAGTTACAGGATTTAGCAAGTTTTAAACATGCGTTCATGTGTAAGTATGTTTATTTCTCTTGGCAATTTAAACCACAACTTTTGTAGTCTTTTACCAAGTGTATCATGATAACTACTATATTTTTCATGTGATATATTAGAAATCATGGTTTTATAATATTAACTCAGAAAGTTTATTTCCTACGTGCTTGCGAGTGTTTGTTTACAAATGTTTTGACGTCATAGCATAGATAAGTCTATAGATTTTTGTTAAATGTCTTCTAGGTAAAAAAATATTTTTTTTCGGTCTGATAGAACAATTATTAACAATTTAAAACATAATTCCAAAAAGTGTCAACTAGCCTATTTAACAACAGTGTATTCTTGTCATTCTCTATACAGAATGAAAAAGATAGACTGATTTTAAATTTAGTTTTAAATTTAGAGAATCATGCCAGAATCGACACCCACCAGTGTCTGTGTCTGATGGTAAATGTCTACCACAGCATGGTAAATACTTCCAATGCAGCGACTTCTCCAAGAACTCTTTGTTCTATCGTGTCCGTGATGCTAGCGTACCCATGATCAATATACGGTTTTTCGTTATGCCATTAAATACTGCGTAAATAGTGCCAAATCAGTGTAAAAATAAAAAAAATAGTGCCTCTTTAATTTAAGAAATAAAGACCATGTTTACTGTGTACGCTACCATGACGTCAAGCTAGCGTACCCATGGCCAACCCCAAGAATGGCATATATTTAAGCAACGAAATTGACACACAAAAATAGTTCGCAAATAGTGCCCTGGCTTTACAAAATTTCATAATCAATACTCTTAAAGGACCAAAGATATTGAACTAAACATTCTTAGCTGGCGTCAACCTGGCGTACCCATAATAGTTCTCATAGAAAATGAACTTTTCTCGTTATCAATTCTATATGTATAAATAGTGTGTCAAATAGTGCCTCTAACAGTAAAAGTATTTTATGTGAATCCGCATCACAACAATACATAAAGAGGATGTTAAATTCTAGGAACAAATGTATTGTAGTACAGTTGCACACAAAATTAATTTATGCACTAAGAGATTATCTATATATGTATTTTTACTAAAATAAATAGGTACTTTTTATAAAAAGATATTTTATTTCAATTCGAATTCACCAATCATAAATTCATATAAGAATTTCAACCTACCTACTAAGTACCTTACTTACCTACTATACTGCGAAAATATTATCTCTTCTGTACATGACTGTACTTCATATATAAAAATAATTTAATTGCTTTTTTATATTGTTTTACTGCGAATTCACATAAAATACTTTTACTGTTAGAGGCACTATTTGACACACTATTTATACATATAGAATAGATAACGAGAAAAGTTAATTTTCTATGAGAACTGTTATGGGTACGCTAGGTTGACGCCAGCTAAGAATGTTTAGTTCAATATCTTTGGTCCTTTAAGAGTATTGATTATAAAATTTTGTAAAGCCAGGGCACTATTTGCGAACTATTTTTGTGTGGCAATTTCGTTGCTTAAATATATGCCATTCTTGGGGTCGGCCATGGGTACGCTAGCTTGACGTCATGGTAGCGTACACAGTAAAAATGGTCTTTATTTCTTAAATTAAAGAGGCACTATTTTTTTTATTTTTACACTAATTTGGCACTATTTACGCAGTATTTAATGGCATAACGAAAGAACGTATATTGATCGTGGGTACGCTAGCATCACGGACACTGTTCTATCTCCCGTTTTTAAAGAAATTGTATAACAAAATACTCGTTTTATTCGGTTTCACCTAACTTCTTCATTTTACTCAGAAAAAAGTACGTAGATCTACGTACTTTTCATATGCAAAACTTACCAATTCCACGTAATTTTCTCATCGGGCCTACGCCTTTTTCTAAATCCGAGTTGGCAACACTGCTGCGTTGAATCGTACAGTTCTGTTTTGCTTGCTCGATTGAATGTAGGGATACGATATCGAATAGAAAGTATCGATACTGTACTCATGAGTAGTATCGGTAAAAAAGTATCGTACTCGTAAAAGTATCGAAACAAAAGTATCGATTACATTTCATAGGGCCTTATCGGATCCTCTGTGGCCGATGAGCAACCCCCCCCCCCCCCCCAGGTTAAAAATTGAAAGAAAAACAATCCAATTTTATTATAGTACGTATAATAACAGTAAAAGGACATATAAATTCACAAATTGCTATATTATATAATGAAAAGAAAATAGCTGTGATTTCTGACACTTAAAAAGTGTTCATTAATATCACATTAATAATTAAAATGTTACTTGAATCTGACACGCAGTTAACGGCGGCCATTGGCATGCTTCACTCAATATTATAATTATAGAAGAAGTTACGTCCGTCTTTTTTTCAGGTCCGTGGTTTCAAATAGGTATACACAGCACAGACAGAATAATAGTGTTACACTTGAATACATCAAATGCAGTCAAGCGAAAAGCACAATAAACGGCGAATCATCAATCACAATTCCTAACAATATGGTCGCTAAATAAATAACTATGAAACAAAACAAAGCGCAAAATAAACACAGTCACAGATTGGAAAGAATTTGAATATATCATAACAATATGAGGCGCTTGTCCAAATTTTAAAAGTATCGATACTTACTTGCCAAAAAGTACTCAATAAGTAAAAGTATCGAATACAAAGTATCGAGTACAAAAGTATCGGTATCGAAAGGAAAAGTACTCGATACCACAAAGTATCGATACTTTTTTCGTGTCCCTAATTGAATGTTATTTACAGACATGGGCGTGTGTGAGAGGTGCTTATGTAGTTGAGTCGAATCATACCTACTTTATTTGATGCTAATATGAACGTACCGTATCTTCCCTTTTTATTTTTATCCTCAGAATACAGATAATCTAAGGGGAACAACAAAAAATGTGTTTTAAAGCAATATGGATAGGTTCTCAGACCAAATAAAAAGTAAAGACGGAGTCTGCCGAACAAAAAAGTGAAGCCGGTTTTTTATGTATGTAGTGCATTAGCCAGTGTTACCATAGTCATTTATAATACCCCAATATTAGAAAAATGTAATAACGTTATAAAATATTAGAAGAAAATATCGTAGGGTTATTCTCTAAACTAGTCCAGATTTATAAGTTTAATAACTGTTACACTAATAAAAGTTTAGTTAAAAAATATATAATAAAAACAAAGCTTAACCTTTGGAGTTTTTGGCGGGATTTCATGGAGTGCGGTAAGCGTCATATTTTAATTATGAATATTGTGAAATAAAATTGGTGTAATTTTGTGTTTCAACCGTTTGCACGAGTGAAGAATTATTGGAATCTTTAAAATAAAAATTAACCTAAGTAACCATATTAAGTTAAGTAAAAAAAATACCTTTGGATATGCATTTTCTTTTACACGACGTTACCCTTTTGTTGTGTAGTACAAATCGTCGCTCTGAAAATGAGTCGAACAAACGCTGCGGGAAGCTGGTTGCCACAATGGTTCATTTCTACTCTTACGAATGACTGCAATCCACTTCTCTTTTAGATTTTGATCTCGAATAGGAAATCGTAAACTAAATTATACGAATAATAAAGAAAAAAGATAATAAAAATGTTTCGTGTAATTGTTTATCCATGCATTACAATATTCGAAAAATATAAAAGTATGCTACACAATGTATTTAATAAAATAACGTTACGTTATATTTGACGCTACCCAACAAAAGGGTAAAACTGTAACGTATAATCATGGCAGCATTTCGTTCAGGTTTTGTTTACAAAGCGACAACCTCAAATTTTATATTAATTAATTGAAAATATTAGTTTATAACTTTACTTACGTATGAAATGTGATTCCATCCCGTTTTTTATTCTTGGAAGATTGGTTTCTATACGTTTTCACTACACAATTCGGCATTTTCTCTAATAAATATTGTTATTTATTATTGTGTCACACTCCGCGCGCCGGGATAGCTCGACTGGGAAGCCAAGGCGTAGTTTCGTTGCATGTGTGTGCGTGTAACTGTGTATGTACACGGCGAGGCGTAGTTTTATCGGCTTCACTTTTTTGTTCGGCAGACTCTATAAAAATATTACTGTTATATTTTTTATTATTTTTAAAGCATGTAACTGCTTGATGTTTAAATCTAAAGAAAATATAACTAGAAAAAATTCCACGCGGACCAGGCAGTTATTTGTTATTGAAAATAAAAAATCATTTAATTAAATTTATATTCTACTCAATGATATGCGCGCATGCTGGGGTAAAAAGAAATAATATTATATATATTGTTTTATAATTTTTATTTTTTAAACATGTAATTGATTGATGTTTAAATCTAATGAAAATATAACTAGAAAAAAATCCACGCGGACCAGGCAGCAGACGGGACTCGAACCCGCACCCTTCGCAATCCGGGCGAATGCACTGACCAATTATACTACCGCGGCCCTCACGGACCGCGTCAAAATTCTTCCAGCCATTCTTAAGTTGCAAGGCAGCGCCATCTCTTCGCATTATAGGTAACCTACAATGTCAAATGAATACTTTTACAAGTATTAAACATTTGAAAAAAGAAATAGCAATTAAAGTTATAATTTTTATTATTTTTAAAGCATGTAACTGCTTGATGTTTAAATCTAAAGAAAATATAACTCAGTTATATTTTAAAGTGTTTTCGAAGGGTGCGGGTTCGAGTCCCGTCTGCTGCCTGGTCCGCGTGAAATTTTTTGTAGTTATATTTTCTTTAAAAATATTACTCTTTAATCATCATCATCATCATCATCATTTCAGCCGAAAGACGTCCACTGTTGGACATAGGCCTCCCCCATGGATTTCCACAACGATCGGTCCCATGCTGCCCGCATCCAGCGGCTTCCCGCGACCTTTACCAGATCGTCGGTCCACCTTGTGGGGGGCCTGCCAACACTGCGTTTCCCGGTACGCGGTCGCCACTCGAGGACCTTTCCGCCCCAACGGCCATCGGTCCTCATTTCTGATTCGATCACGCAGAGAAACTCCGAGCATAGCCCTCTCCAATGCCCTTTGGGTGACTTTCAGCCTTCTTACAAGACCCATTGTAAGCGGCCACGTCTCGGTTCCGTATGTCATCACTGGCAACACGCACGAATTGAAGACTTTCGTCTTGAGGCACTGCGGTAGATGTTCCGAGAAGATGCTACGTAGCTTCCCGAACGCTGCCCAGCCGAGTTGGATTCGTCGATTAACCTCTTTCTGGAAGTTGGACTTACCCAGTTGGACTATTTGTCCCAGGTATACGTACTGGTCAACAACTTCCAGTGTAGAGCTCCCAACAGTCACGACATGGGAATTCGACATGATTTTCGTCTTGTCCATGTTCATTTTGAGACCCACTTGTTGGGACACCCTACTGAGGTCGCCGAACATTGTGCCAAGGTCATCCATGGTCTCAGCCATGACTACGATATCATCTGCAAATCGAAGGTGCGTCATGTACTCGCCGTTTATGTTGATGCCAAGTCCGCTCCAGTCCAAAAGTTTGAAAACGTCTTCCAGCGCAGCTGTAAACAGTTTCGGTGATATAACGTCACCCTGTCTTACACCACGCTGCAGCTGGATTGGCTTCGTGTTTTGGTCCTGGAGTCGAACTGACATAGTGGCGTTTTCATACAACGACTGCAACAATTCGATGTATCGATAGTCTATTTGGCACCTTTGGAGTGACCGAAGCACGGCCCATGTCTCGATCGAATCGAAGGCTTTCTCGTAGTCCACAAACGCCAAGCATAATGGCAGGTTATACTCTTCGGTCTTCTGTATAACCTGCCGCAGCGTATGGATGTGGTCTACGGTACTAAACCCTTTTCGGAATCCGGCTTGTTCGAGAGGCTGGAAGTCGTCAAACCTGCGAACGAGACGATTCGTGAGGACTCTCGAAAACAACTTGTATAAATGACTCAGGAGCGTGATGGGTCTGTAATTCTTCAATTGGGCCCTGTCTCCCTTCTTGAAGAAAAGCGCCACCACTCCCCTATGCCATGCGCTAGGCGTTTTGCCCTCGAGTATGACAGAGTTAAATAGCTTCTGAAGAGATTTCAAGACTGGTCGTCCACCTGCTTTCAGAAGCTCGGCTGTAACTCCGTCATCACCCGGCGCCTTTTTGTTTTTAAGCTGTTTCAGAGCTACACTAGTCTCGTACAGGCTGACGTCCGGGATATCTTCGGTGTAGTGTCGGGTTAATTTGGCTCTTGGGTCGGTCGCCTTTGTGACAGGTACTCGTGATGTCGCGTATAGCTGTCGGTAGAAGCTTTCGATCTCAGCCATAAGCTCAGGTTACGACGAAATGATTCTGCCGTCCTCTGTCTTCAGCTTCGACAGCAAACTCTGTCCAAGAGACAGATTTCTTGCGAACACTTTCGAGCCTTTGTTCCGCTCGATGGCCTCTTTAATACGATCAGTATTAAAGCGGCGTATGTCGCGAGTCAGAGACTTCGAAATCTGCCTATTGAGCTGCCGACGTGCATCTTCAGAGGACTGCAGACCCATCTCACGCCTTTTCTCCATGAGCTTGAGAGTCGGCTCCGAGATCTTGCTACGTTTTTTGGTACGGATGGGCTTGCAGAACTTCGAGCCCACCGTAAGGACAGCTTCAACAAACCTGTCATTATAATTGTCCACGTCTACGCAGCTCTCTAGGCAATCGAAGCGATTTTGCAGTTCGAGTTGAAAGCGCTCGGGGTTTTGGATCTGGATGGCTTCAGGACGGAGCGTGGACTTCATCAGTCGATTCCTTTCGGCTTTGACATTTAGATTCAATGTGCCTCTTACCATTCGGTAATCGCTTCCCGTATTGAACGAATTGATCACTGAGACATCATTGAATATCCGAGTCTTAGTCGACATGATGAAGTCAATTTTTTGTTACGCCATCCGGACTTTTCCAGGTCCATTTTCGATGCAGCCGTTTTCTGAAGAAGGAGTTCATCATAAAGAGTTCCTCCTTCTCCATGTAATCGGCTAGCATTTGACCTCGGAAGTTCCGGATTCCAACTCCAAATTGCCCCACTTTCAACTCATCATCGCCACGTTTGCCCAGCCTTGCGTTGAAGTCCCCCATGACAACGGTGTAATGGGTCCTGGAAGCATGCATTGCCCGAGAAATATCCTCATACATGACTTCCACTTCCTCGTCGGGGTGCGTCGAGGTCGGAGCGTATACCTGTATGACCTTCAACGAATACCGTTTGGTGATTCTGACCCTTCAATTGCGGAAAAGCCTCCGCCTAAAACACCCCCAGCTTGCGGAACGATTGCGCGGCCGCAGCGCGCGCTCGACGCGGTTTGAAATTTATTCAATAACTTTAATAAATTGTTCGGTCGACATGCAGCTAAATGTTTTATTTCAATTATAGATAGTCAATGTACCTTCTTTTTTAGTAATTTCCTATATAAATTGTTTCAACCTTTTTATTTTTAACAGGAAACGTAGACAAAATCAATTTCGCACCTTAGGTGGCATAAACGCGATTTGAATAAATATACGAATACTATATGCTATATAATATGCTTTTCATTGATAACCTTTTCAAAGTTGAATAACTAAACAATAGATATAATTTTTATTATTTTTAAAGCATGTAACTGCTTGATGTTTAAATCATTTGACATAGTGGGTTTACCTATAATGCGAAGAGATGGCGCTGCCTTGCAGCTTAAGAATTGCTAGAAAGAATTTCGACGCGGTCCGTGAGGGCCGTGGTAGCATAATTGGTCAGTGCATTCGCCTGGATTGCGAAGGGTGCGGGTTCGAGTCCCGTCTGCTGCCTGGTCCGCGTGGAATTTTTTCTAGTTATATTTTCTTTAGATTTAAACAATAGATTTTTGCAAAAAAATAATATACTGTTGTAATATAATGTTGTTAATAAACTGTTTTAAAAATTACTTTTTAGTTGCGGGCTCCGCGATGCTCGATTTTAAAATTGTCGTACTAACGGTTGTTTGGTCATAAGAACGACTTCACCACAATGAGTGAATGGTTTATTCATCTGGGTATAAAATTCAAAAGACTTTGAACTGTATTGCATTATATTTATTCCCAAAATTGCAAAAAATTGAATGCGGGTGACGAGCGAGCAGTTCTGCACTTACCCAAACGGGCTTTACTCACGAAGGCGTGCAGTGCTGCACTACAGCGGTTGAAGGGGTATAAGGTATGCCACCCTATTCGACACACTACCGATCTGTACAACATTGTTCATGAGAGACTTGTGGACAACAAACCCGACACCACTCTGGGACAGATCTTCGCCCTCCCGGAAATAGAGCAGGTTGCCGGATTTAAGGACCATCGTGTCCTCGCCCTCTCTTCGGACTTCAGATAGTCCTACAATACTCCAGCGAATCCTGCTCAATTCTTCCTCCAGTTCCAGCAGCTTCTCCTCGGTCCGTAGTGTGCGTGCGTTGTACGTTGCCAGGGCCAAGGTCGTTTGACGGGGGATTTTTGCCGTCCGGAGATTCTTCGCACCCCTGGTCCCGGCGCCGAGTCGGCGTCCGTCAGCGCCGCCACGGACTCCAGCACCGCCGGGCACTTGGGGCCTCTTATTATGTACCATCATTTTAGGGGGGGTTTTGGGCCGTCTCCCACCACGCTGGCCCAGTGCGGGTTGGTGGGGAGCGCCAGAGCCTCGTCCGTTGGTCGGCAGGGTACACCGCGGGCAGGTGAGGTTGGCTTGGGTGCCGTTGGGTGTTAGGCGGCACCCCTTATACCCCCTACTCTTTAAGTATAACTATATTTAAGTTTATTAATTGAGTCACTTAAATATAATATAACTACATTTAAGTGCCTCAATTGCTTTCTTTTTAATAACCATTGTTTTGTCCACAGTCTTCTTTTTCTTTTTTTCTCATCTACATTTGTAGTTAGAGCCAAGATTAATCCAATTTTTTGCTTCTTGGTAAGAGGCATCCTAATACAAACAAGTCCGTTCAGCAGAGGCAACAAATAAAACTGAAATTGGCGATCTTGTTGTGTATGTGTAGACGGACGACCAGATTGTACTCAATTCAATCGGCAATCAAATTGTGTCGTGTGGAAGGGGTTTAACTTTCATTCAATCAACTCAAATATATACCTAAAATAAAACCAAAAACCGAAACATAAACATTATGCATTCTAATAACAAATCTGTATGTAATAGGTGCCCAAGTAAAAAATATTTATAATTCGCGCGGGGCATGGCTTGATCGGTAGCGGGTACAGAGCGCGCGGGGGGGCAGGTTTTATATTATGTTACTTGAGTCCGACTCGCACTCGGCCGCTTTTTTTTAAGAAATTAAACAAACAGGCCAACAGCCATCTCCACGGCAAACATGTCTCCTGCACTAATAATAATTGATAATCAGAAGGATTTATCATAAACAAAAATCGGATTAAGAAGTTAAATGTCGTGAATAAGAAATTACGTCGTGAAGTGACGTTAAAATTTTCTTAACTTCCAAAAGGCAAGCAAAGGAACCAGTCTAGATAAAGCCTTGTTAAGCCACAAAATAATATGAAACGCATGGACTAGCGAAAACGATGTATGATAAAGGAGTAAGAGGGCGTCAACCTAAACAGAGGCCTTCTATCTCTCTCTTCAACCAAACAAAACATGTGACGTTTTCAACACTTTACATGTCTCTATTTTTGTTATGTACCTATATTAAGAATATCTATTATTACTGTCCAGTCCACTGCAAGACGCTCCATTCAAATCTGATTCCACTTATTTGGTTCGAGGTTCGTGGCAATACAGACAAAAAAGGAAGGGCAGTAATAAAACTGTTTAACAAATAATTATAATTTATTTACAAAATGTTTTATTCACACACAACATTAAGTAAATATATCAGCAATATCTCCCACACAATTTAGTATTTTGCAAAGTCCATCTGTAAAATATATTGCACTTACATTTCAAGATGCAGATGCAATAAAATACATGATTACAACAAATGATAATCTTATAAAATGGAAAAAAGTTCAATACATTCATTAATCAGTATTAAACTAAAACAAAGTTTTTAGAGAAATAAGAAGTAATGAAAAACAAAAAAAATGTACCTCAGTATCAGTTTATAAGCTTAACTTAGTAATCACAATAATTCAGATTAATGGCATAATGAGAGCAATAATTATGGACTCATTTAAATTTTAAGTAAAGGAGCATGTAATTCCCCTATTGCAGAATGTTCTTTACTATAATAATAAAAGTAAAGATTTAAAGTGTAGTAAAAGAGATTTCCATTCACAGAACATGAAAGTCACGTTATGTATGCTATGCAGAATATTAATATCATTTTCTATACATGTACAGACATGTCATGAAATCAATGAGAATTAAAGGTTCTAAATAGGTAAAATGAAACTTGAGACTACAAATCTGTTAGATTGAAGTTAAACTCAGTCTTCACCACTGCCAAATACATTTTATGAAGCACTAAATTTACAATAGAATACAGATCTAGTCTTACTTAAAAAATAACCAACTTTACCTGTTTAAAATAAACTAAACTATTTAAGCAAAAATTATATCATAAATCATAACAATATTTTGTATGATTACTTAAAAAAAAATTGACGTGACTAGCTTATATAATCAATATTAATATGGTTTTCATGTTTTAATTTATAAAATAAGAAAGATGTGAAAACTCAATGAAATAAAGAACTGATCAGGAACTCCGGAATATAATTAAATGTATTTTTAAGTTGATAGAGAATCAAGGGCTCGAAAAAAAACTTAAAAACTATCATAAAATAAAAAGTCTAAAATGCATTTATATACCTGTAGATATACAGTCCTGAGCAGAGAGGATAATATGTTTTAGACAATCTGCCCAAACTAGGACAGACTAAACTTTCATTCAAGATGAAATCAACTCGCGATATATTTTATAATAACATAACCAGAGATTGATTGTAACATCTCAATACACAAAAAATGCTTTAATCTCACCGTTGTATATCAGAAGTACCATGGAAAACAATCAGTGAAATCCTTCCATTTATTTATAAAGGGAAGAAGATAGGGCACCCTTGTTTCACAAGTGCATTGCGTAAATTAGGTGCATGCACACAATTCGCTTTAGTCACAATTTGACTTCCAAACACACCGCATGTGCACTCAATATAACATAATATCGGATATTCTGTGTTAAAAGGATAAAACAATGCCTACGACACTTTAAAAAAGTACACAAATAGTTCAAGTACCTACATATAACAAATTTGCACGGCATCACTTTTCATTCATAAAACTATAAAAAATATAATGTCATGAATGTTATTTTTTATATTCGCCTTTGATAACAATCAAGAAAAGGGCAACAATCATAGAGGTATAAGAATAGAGTGGGGAAGGCGACTCTAAAAGTGTCCGTTTAGTAGAAAGAGAAAGAAGATGAGAGACCGCTAGCTATCTCTTTCTCTCTTATGACGCACGGCATCCAATTACATCACATCGAAATAGTAAGATGCTTACGGTTGATAAATACGCATGCGGGATTAGAGAGAGAAAGCTAGCGGTCTCTCATCTTCTTTCTCTTTCTATTACGGAACACGAAGAGGGACACTTCCATTTATAGTAGTCTATATCTCCCCTTCTCTATTCTTATACGTCTATGGCAACAATACAGCTCAGCCGTTGGTACAGACAAAAAGTATGCGCAGTCGGTTGTCAACAGACGCGGACTCGCTCGCGCTGCGTTAAAACCTACCGTTCTGTCTCGGTTAAATAGTTGAGTCGGATAATCTTTTATTTGACGCAAGTAAAAGCGTGCCGTATCTTCTCTTTTTGATTTATTCATCTAAGGTGAAACCAAAAGTTAAGTCTTGCAATAAAATTACAGTCAAATTTTCGAGACTGAAAATTCAAATCTGATATAATTTGATTTTGACCTCCATGTCGTCTGATGGGAAGCGTCGATGATGTCTAACAAGGAATGCTAACCCATCATATACTCGTATTAGAAGATGCATATCTTAAATTGATTAAAAGAATTTTAATAATCATCACGTAGACTAGGTTATACTATATTATTTAATTTTTAACTACTGCAAATGCGTCCCATTCTGTAAACATTTTTTTTAACATTAGTACAACATACTATAAGTAAGCTTGGCTGCTGACTCGCAACCTTTTAGTAAAGTATACATGGGAATTATTTTTTTATAAGATTAACACAAACACTACTCTTATGTCTTCACCAAATAATTCTCTATATTCCGTCCGACATAAATCCATAAAAAGAATCCACCCTTACACTTCTCTACGCATAAACAAGCAGTGCACCCAAAACTATATAATATTATTCATCAAGCGTTAAAACTAAAATCGAAACAGTCTACGAAATCAATACATATAATATAATGTATCTAAATCATAACTCTCGCGTACAAGAAACAATCGCTAGATTCATTCTTTTGTTAAAAGGGTCCTTCATTGTTTAAAGTGCATACTGTTATCACAGCCCTAATATGTCAATAATGGTCAATAGTCCATCAATTCTCAGCTAATGTGGGGTGTGTGCTATGCGGTCATGCCTGGCGGTGCGAGCGCATTGTACGCTCGGTAACAGTTCACGTCGTTCATCAGCCTTTGGATGTTTTGAGTAAATGTTGGTAAATCCTAGAAAAGAAAATTTGTGTCAAAAACTAGACTTCTGTAATTTTATTTACTCGACATAAAAAATCAAACAAACAATATTGTCTAAAGGCACATATTGAAATTACAAAAAACGCGTGGAAGTCAACCCGCCGCCATGCTGTACCTGATGTACGCTGATGACAGTATGTTATCGTGTCCACGGGGAAGTCGGCGAGCAGGTCGCGATAGTGAGGTGCGAGGCCGGGCAGCGCAACTAGGAAGTGCGGCAGGAAGGCGGCGCGGAACGCGTGGAAGTCTACCGCCACCAAGCTGTGCCCGCCGGTGCCGAGTGCGCTGATGACAGGATGTTACCGTGTCCGCGGGGGAGTCGGCGAGCAGATCGCGATGGCGGGGTGCGAGGCCGGGCAGCGCAGCTAGGAAGTGCGGCAGGAAGGCGGCGCGGAACGCGTGGAAGTCTACCGCCACCAAGCTGTGCCCGCCGGTGCCGAGTGCGCTGATGACAGGATGTTACCGTGTCCGCGGGGAAGTCGGCGAGCAGATCGCGATGGCGGGGTGCGAGGCCGGGCAGCGCAGCTAGAAAGTGCGGCAGGAAGGCGGCGCGGAACGCGTGGAAGTCTACCGCCACCAAGCTGTGCCCGCCGGTGCCGAGTGCGCTGATGACAAGATGTTACCGTGTCCACGGGGAAGTCGGCGAGCAGGTCGCGATAGTGAGGTGCGAGGCCGGGCAGCGCAACTAGGAAGTGCGGCAGGAAGACGGCGCGGAACGCGTGGAAGTCTACCGCCACCAAGCTGTACCCGCCGGTGCCGAGTGCGCTGATGACAGGATGTTACCGTGTCCGCGGGGAAGTCGGCGAGCAGGTCGCGATGGCGGGGTGCGAGGCCGGGCAGCGCAGCTAGGAAATGCGGCAGGAAGGCGGCGCGGAACGCGTGGAAGTCTACCGCCACCAAGCTGTGCCCGCCGGTGCCGAGTGCGCTGATGACAGGATGTTACCGTGTCCGCGGGGAAGTCGGCGAGCAGGTCGCGATGGCGGGGTGCGAGGCCGGGCAGCGCAGCTAGGAAGTGCGGCAGGAAGGCGGCTCGGAACGCTTGAAAATCCACCGCCGCCATGCTGTGCCCCGCCGGTGCTGAGTGCGCTGATGACAGTATGTTACCGTGTCCGCGGGGAAGTCTACGAGCAGGTCGCGATGGTGGGGTGCGAGGCCGAGCAGCGCAGCTAGGAAGTGCGGCAGGAAGGCGGCGCGGAACGCGTGGAAGTCTACCGCCGCCAAGCTGTGCTCCGCCGGTGCTGAGTGCGCTGATGACAGGATGTTACCGTGTCCGCGGGGAAGTCGGCGAGCAAGTCGCGATGGTGGGGTGCGAGGCCGGGCAGCGCAGCCAGGAAGTGCGGCAGGAAGGCGGCGCGGAACGCGTGAAAGTCTACCGCCGCCATGCTGTGCACCGCGGCCATCACTTCGTCTCGTAGCAACGCGCGTGCCCCTCCCTCCGATAAACTCGCCAGCAATACAGACAAGAACTCCGACAGGAACTCGTTGCGGAATATCGTCTGTACGCAATATTTATCTACATTACTTCCTTCCTCCGCTTTTTACAAACTTTCAAGTAAACTTCGAACTAAATATGACAAGATTAAAAATGCACAGGTCTAGTTTCTTGCAGTGATCTCAATTAAATTAATGCATATTTTAGTCAGTTGCTTTAACTATTCTCAACGCAGACAATGACCACATCAACTTCAAGCATTTAAGCTGCCTGGATTCTAGAGCAGGACAGGCAGCTCGAGCAGTCCAGCTCTTGCAGGTTATTTACAACGATATTAACTAATACTCTAAATACATCACGTGCGCTCATAATTTTCAGTCACGCGCGGATCGTTGTAAAGTCAAAGTGTCGTTTTTGTACAGGTATCTAGTCAATGTTTATTAATTAAACGCATTTGAAGCAAAATTTGTTCTAATACTATAAACTGATTGAATAGAAAATATTTGTGATATTCAAATGCATGGTCGGTAATAATAGCCGCCTCTTTTCCTCGCAGTCCGTACCTGCTATAATTGCTAACAGGGCATTCAGAATTGCGCGTAGAGTCAAAGAAATAAGGTCTATATTCTTCGCGTATACCAATAAGTCGTAAAATTTTGCAACCTTGCATTTCGAACTGCCGTAACTCCGATGCATGTGTTTTAATTAAGACCTTATACAGTATACATTAAAGGTGACTTACAATGTTTAAATAATGCCTTATATTGTTTTTGACTACGCGATCATCTTACGGAGCTCCGTGGATCGTCCAATGTACCTTTTGGACAGGTTTCGGGCACGATTTTGTTCGTGTTGGTATCTATGGTATTTAATATCATTGGTTACTTACTCTTAATGCGCTTATATAAACCTAACAACGAACTTTCTTCCGAACTGATGAATAAAAATCGAAAACTATGGAATACGGTTCCCTTGTAAACAAACATATACCTTATGGTACAGTTTCCACTTGGTGTTTAACGTGTCGAGGGTTTCTATGTTGATGCGCAGCAGCTCTATGTCCGGCTGCAGCAGCGAGCGGCCTAACGCTGATAGCGCTTCGCGAAGCTCGTTCAGGCGTCGAGCGCTTTCCTCGCCTTCACATTTCACGGTGAAGAAGTACCGCCAACGGTGTATGAGGACGCTGGGGAAAAAAACATTCTGTGAAACCAGAGTTTCAAAGGACAAATTGCTAAAAAGCTTGAACCAAATGCCCCCAGGACGATACCTTAGGATCTAAAACTTAGGCTTAGATTTACTTAAGTCGGCATTTTTTTAAATACTTTGCATGATAGGCAGGCCGCGCGTGTAGTATGGGGCGCGTCTCACCTGGCCAGCAGGCAGTGCGCGGCGCGCGCAAGGTCGGGCGCGTGTTGGTGCGCGCGAGCACGGCGCGCTATAGGCCGCGCGTGTAGTATGGGGCGCGTCTCATCTGGCCAGCAAGCGGTGCGGGCGCGCGCAAGGTCGGGCGCGTGTTGGTGCGCGAGAGCACGGCGCGCTATAGGCCGCGCGTGTAGTATGGGGCGCGTCTCACCTGGCCAGCAGGCAGTGCGCGGCGCGCGCAAGGTCGGGCGCGTATTGGTGCACGGCGCGCTATAGGCCGCGCGTGTAGTATGGGGCGCGTCTCACCTGGCCAGCAGGCAGTGCGCGGCACGCGCAAGGTCGGGCGCGTGTTGGTGCGCGCGAGCACGGCGCGCTATAGGCCGCGCGTGTAGTATGGGGCGCGTCTCACCTGGCCAGCAAGCGGTGCGAGGCGCGCGCGAGGTCGGGCGCGTGCTGGTGCGCGCGAGGCAGCGCTTGCGCGTGCAGCAGCGCTAGCACGGCGCGCACTCGGACTCCACCGCCGCCCGCCTCTACGCCGAGACGAACGCACTCGACCAACCGCTCCAGGCTGCTATCACCGCCACCTCTGACGGAAACCACAATATTCATTTTTCCTTTTACCTCACAAATACTAAAATGCAATGTTAAACAACTTATTTATATTAAACAATTTTGAAACCATTTCGAAATAGGTTCGACCGAAATTAAAAAAAAACTGTAAAGGATACGCAGGGCGCTGTTGTATGGACCATAATTTTTAACTTTCAAACAATGTATACAACCTCCGTAATTGCATTTTTTGGGCAATGTGTTAAAAATATAGTTATAGTAACTATTAAGTAATCTTTACTTATAGTGCCAGTGTAAAACTTTTTATATATATACCTAGTCAGGTCATAGATTTTGTCACATGTTTAATATAAAATAATTGAAACAAGTTTATTCATTATGTAACCATTTATATACCAAAATGAACTTAACAAAACATAGATTCTTATGACAATAAAGTTTATTCAAAATGTCCTTCGTGATTTTGAATACAGGCCTTCAATCTTAATCAAGGATGTCGTTAGTGACTCCAAATTGGAATGAGTCTTTGAGATCGCCTTTTCCTCCAAGTGTTGCCATATCTACAAGATATGGATCTAACGGACTCAAATCTGGACTGGAGGAGGGCCAGTCTTCGTGCCGGATGAAGTCGATTTCACGCGCCTCCAACCAGTCTTGTCTGCTCTTCGCTCTATGAGCTGGCGCCGAATCTTGTTGGAATACCCAGTGCCTGTTATTGAACATGGTATGAGAAACAGGTTCCACAAGGTTCGTCAGGACTGTTTTGATACACAACTGCATTCGTTTTTACACCTTTCTCACAAAAATGAACCTCTGTTAAGCCCCAATAAGAAACTCCCAACCATACCATGAGCGAGGATGGAAAATGACCTCGTTGGACACGCGGAATACGGTTGCTCGCTTCTTCACTACTGTGGGCGTACACCTTATTATTTTGTTTGTTGTAGCTCTCTTCTTACGGTAAAATTTTTTTCATCGGTAAAAAGAATTTCCCGATGTTTTTTTCCCGCGTACCGCTTCAACAAAGCGCGGCATCTCTTCAGTCTCAGGTCCATCAGACCAGCATTCAAACGATGTCCTGTTGTTCTTCGATATGCCCGAAGCCCTAAGTCTTCAATTAACACCCTTTTCACCGTGGTTCTGCTTAACCCCATCTGAAGGGCCAACAGTTTCTGCTTACGTTTGGGATTTCTTTGAATTCGCGCCTTCACAGCTTTTATCACTGCTGGAGTCCTAATAGACCGAGGGCGACCAATTCTTGACCTGTCATCTACACTAGAGTCTTCATTGTATCGTTTGATGGTACGATAAACGAATCTTATGGTTATATTAAAATTTTTCAGTATATCAAAAAATTGAATTGGCGCGTAACCGCAACGATGCAACGCAATAACTGCAACACGGTCTTCTTTAAGCGTCCACTCCATATTTAAAAATGAGTAAAATTCTAAAAAGTATACATTTTTATTTTCATGAACAATTCGAAATTCGAATTCAATAAACTTTTTTGTGGCCAGCGTTCTAAAAGAAAAGTTTTTACTGTGTGACAATACTTATGACCTGACTGTGTATGTGCGTGAAACAGTCATCAAAGCCTGTTACGTTCAAGACACTTATTTATGTCATGTCAGAGGCGAAATTACCATATGAAAAAAAAAATTGTGTCAAGAAAACGAAGAATGTGTATCAAGAATAACTTTATGCAAAAATACTTGGCAAGAAAGTTATATTGCAAACACATTGCACTTGTTGCGAACAGTGCAAAGTGCGAACAATGTGCTACGATCAGATTACATGATCAGCGACACACTAGCTGATGGGTACTAGACTAATAAGTGTAAGTTACGATTGCATAATTAAAACCGAAGGATTAATGATCTATCCTCATATACGGCATATGAGGATAGATCATAAATTCTTCGGTTATACATATGACACATAGAAGCCAAATTAAATTGTCGCCAAATTTATCAAGCCCACTTTTTCTAATCCACATTTCAATTTAACAAATCAAGCTCACTCGAAATTTCAAGAAGAGACATCTGCAATTCAAGATCATAACGAAAAACTCAAGGACACAGAATTGCCACTGAACAGTGTAACATATCATGACAGTACCCGGCCATTTATAAGTCGCATCGAGCTTTAGAAAGAGATACTCGGCTAGCCTCGGCTTCGTATAGCGCCGTCTCCTTGTCAACCTGACCTTTAGTCGCTGACTTGTCAGTCGTAGTTCAACGTTGCTGAACAGCAGTCGCGTTCTTCTTAAAATATATATACAGAGTTGCTAAAATAAATATTTCGTGAAAGAAAGAAAAAAAAACTTTTTTGTAAAATAGATTTGAGTAAAAAAGATAATTTTGAAAATTACTGGACCAATTTAAAAATCTTACAAATAGATAGCTAGCTACAATAACATGCAATATTAATATTTACCTGACTAAAAATAATTTATTGTGTTAAATTATATGAGACTTATGTGATTATTGATGAATTATTTCGAGTAAAATAATATTATTTCTAGGATTAACTATGTTATGTGCTCAATGCTGTAATCTGTTTGTTTGTACATTAATAAACAAACTTTTTTGTAAAATAGATTTGAGTAAAAAAAATAATTTTTAAAATTACTGGACCAATTTAAAAATCTTACAAATAGATAGCTAGCTACAATAACATGCATTAATAATATTTACCTGACTAAAAATAATTATATGAGAATAAATTATGTGATTATTGATGAATTGGCTACAGGATTAAATAAAACTTTTTAATTTATTTTAATTTCAGATGGAACAGCACGTTTTACATGATGGAAAGGTTTTCAAAACTCAAAGATTCTCTGGTGTTGTACCTAAGCGTAAATCCAATCGCGATGATATCCCCCGAAGATTGGATGAACATTCAAAAATTTGTGCAATTAATGCAGCCATTTGAAGAAATAACAAGAAATCTAAGTAGTTCTCAAGTCAGTATTTCATCAGTCATACCTTTAATTCAAGTTCTTATGACCACATTACAACAAGAAGAGACGAAACCTGATACTTCCGAACAATTCAAAAAATTTACAACAAAATTACGTGACGAATTAAATGCAAGTGCGAGATTTGGAAACCTGGTGGAAGACGATAAATACACCATCGCGACTTATTTGGATCCGCGATATAAATCGCATTTTTTTAACAGCATCATTACAGAACAGCTTGAATCTAAATTACTTAATGTGACGATTAACACTATTACAATTAGAAACAGACAATCCAATTCCATCCAAGATGATGACCGCGTACCTTCTCCCAAAAGAAGCCGAACTCAATTTGCGATTGAAGGCATCGAAGTGCAGCCTTCTACTTCAAAATCATCATCATCATTACAAATATTGGAATCGATGTTAAGCGTAAATGAAGACCAGGAGGAGAACTCGTCTGCAACCGACGATGGTGACAATTTATTTTTAGAGATACAGTCACACCTTCGGGAGTACAAGAAAGAGAAGAGACTACCTCTCCACGAGGATCCTCTTATGTGGTGGAAAGTAAATGCGCACAAATACCCCCATCTGTTGCCAATAGTTCGCCAATACTTATCAGCTCCCCCCAGCAGTGTAGCCAGTGAGCAATTGTTTAGTGGAGCTGGTTTAATATATGAAGAACACCGTAACAGACTCAAAGGTTTAAAAGCAGCCAAATTACTTTTTATTAAATATAATTTACCTCTGTTTAATTTCGAGTACTGAAAGTACAAAATTTAAAATAATTCATAATAAAAGAAATCTTTAGAAATAAAATTGTGCTTTTTCTTAATAGTATTAACACTTCCGCTAAGATTTAATTTTGACTTCTGTTTCCGTTTCTGCTTCCGCTATTACACTTCCGTTGCATCACTAATATATATTGTCTTTTACCTACATGTTTTCTTTTTGTATTGATTTCTAAAAAAAACTTATTAAAAGTTTTAGCAGCTCTTAATAGATACCGGACTGTTAGTGTTTCGTGTGACAAAGATGACGCTCTACAAAGCCGAAGCTAGCCGAGTATCTCTCTCTAAAGCTAGATGCGACTTATAAATGGTCTGGTACTGTACACCATTATGCCATGATTTATATTATACTGGCGATATTAGCTGTGATCACTACAGCGATAATCGCCAAGCGCATTCGGTGTTTATGGAGTCGCCCGCGCCGGCGGGAGGGGCAGACAAGTGCCGAAGAAACGCGTCATGAAGCGACGTCGGGGACAACGCCATCACCTGCACTTCAACCCTCGCGTGATAGACAAGAGTCATACGACCCATCCAACTACGAAATAGATCAACGAGTCCCGTTTTGCGGAAAATTTATGGAAATGGTTCATTTGACTCTGTTTAATTATCTTTTAATTTTCAAGTCTTACGTTTTGTCATACTTACCTGTATGCAATCTTTTTCTTCCAGCATCCCACTCTCTGCGGCCCGGGAATATGTGCGGGCCAATTACCGCACATGTTTCCGTGTCAGCGAAATAGTTTACTTATTTAATAATTTAATTCTATTTTCAGTCGTGTGTGTAGCAAGTAATGCTAGTAAGCTCGTATATCAAGAAAATATACATTCTATAATCTTCAAGGAGTTTTTATCATCAAGTTATCAAGATCTACCAAATAGGTCTTTCGGTAGCATCACGGCACCGTCCGACACAAGTTGAGTATGTCAGTAATGGTTTTTGCACTATGCTGAGAATGAATGGTGCAAAAATGTTGGCAGACCATTTTATAAATAAAAAGTGACAGCATCGACTTAAATCAAACTTAATTGTTACAATTGTACCGTAATAAAATAACTAAAAAACATATAAAGTTTAAAATTACTATACCTTTGCGCAACTTCCAAGAAAACATCGATGGCGGTGAATGCAAAATTGCCCAGTTGCGGCAGCAGGGCCGTAAACAGCGCGAAAAAGAACTCTGTTATCTCAGTCTCGGCGGTCGCGTACAATGGTTCACACAACATGCGCAGAGCCGTCTCTGCCGCGCCTTGCATGCTCTCTGCTATTATCTATACACATAAAGTTTATTCAACTTATTACAAACAGCTAGTAATTTTAGCATTGATAAATTTTATATATTTTAACAGTAACAGGTAGTTAATCAAAGTTTTCATAGAATACTACATATTTCTCCCGGCAACAGACAGCAGCGCCGTTCACGCTACCAGCCGCTGGATACAAATAATTAAACAAGAGACGCTTTCCTTCTTAGCAATGGTAGGATCGTGCGCGAACGCATGCAGTAGAGCAGTGAGCTCACTGTCCCGCTCCTAACGCGGCATACCTTTCTCTTTAGACTCGAGCGGCCTAATGGCTCTAGGACGCAGAGGGGACTCCCCGAGGGTAGCTGCTATCCACCTAGAATACCACTCGCAAAGGCACTCACTATTTCCTGGATTGATGTCCCCTAAGGATCTCGCTGTCCCTAAGGCTAGTGTTGCTGTAAATCATCTGACACCAACAACATGCAGACTCAAAAAAACAGTGCCATTAGGGATGCCCAAAAGCATCAAAGTTGGTTAAGGTAAAAACACATGGTTGAAAGATGGTCAAGTACTATTTTTCGCCACGTAAAAATAACGTATTCAGTAGAGCAGTGAGGAGTGGCACCGTTGCCGCCGGTCCGGCAAACAGGCGGCGGCGCCGTCAACGCTACCAGCACCACCCCTGTATGTAAGTGATAAACAACGCGGCATATCGTTCCCTTTAAGCTCGAGTGGTCTAGTAACTCCAGGACGCAGAGGACATCCCGAGGGAGATGCCATCTTCCTAGAATACCGCTGAAGGAACTCGATATTTCCTAGTTTCAGGTCCCCATAGGATCTCGCCATCCCCAATCCCAGCGATGCTGTGAAGGAAATCTGCCACCAACAGCAAACATACAAAAAAAAATACTAACCTTCTTGGCTTGGTAGGTGCGTGAACGAACGCGTGCAGTAAGGCAGTGAGCTTCAACGCTGCCAGCCCCGTCTCTGTATGTAAGTGATAAACAACGCGGCATACCTTTCCCTTTAGACTCGAGTGGTCTAGTGGCCCTAAGACGCCGAGGAGACTGCCCGAGGTGAGATGCCATCCGCCTAAGTGGCACTCGCTATTTCCTGGTTTGAGGTTCCCTAAGGATCTCGCCGTCCCCAATCCCGATGCTGTGAAGTTAATCTGCCACCAACAGCAAACACACCCAAAAAATATATACTAACCTTCTTGGCATTGGTAGGAGCGTGCGCGAAAGCGTGCAGTAAGGCAGTGAGGGGTGGCAACGTCGCCGCCGGGCCGGCAACTGGCAGAGGCGCCGTCCACGCGGCCAATAAACCGCGCGCCGCCTCTCCCCCCGCCCCTACCACCGCCCCCGAACCAGACCCTGTTCCGACGTTTGGACCCCGCGCCAGTAATAAGGAGAGAAGCGCCTCACGAACAACCGCAGCAGTCTACACAGCATAAAATTTTAATTCAATTTTGTTCAAATGTGATTTGAAATTGGCGGCTTTGAAGTTAGCAGTGAGCGCAATCATGTGCAAGTACAGCCAGGTCCGTATTTCACCAAGTCTGATGATCTATTTATTTATTATATAAATGTTCGAGTCTGGTTTTGCTTATGCGGAATGGAGAATGGGCAAATCCGTCTAGATTGCGCTTGACGCATTTATGTATCAAAAATCTTCTTCTGAATTATCATTTCATATGTGTGTTTATTATGTAAATATTATGCGGATATTTAAAATAATAAATAAATGGCTATTAAACTGAGTAAATAACCAATAACCATAGATAAAAGTTGTATCACCTGGTCGATACTATCGTAGGAAAAAAAAATCGATTATATTTCTTTATTTAAATATTCTTAACATAAAAAACGAGTGTGATTATGACCACACGACTGAAGTGAAACTTCTTTCATTTACTAGCTGTAAGAGAAAAAGAGAAAGAAAATGCGTGCGCGCGCTCTTGCTCCTACACTGTGATACAGACAATAGGCTTGCACTGTGCTTGGATATACGGAACGTATTTGGCTATGAGAGGAAGAGAGAAAGAAAATGTGCACGCGCACTGCTTTCTCATGCTTACATCCCCCACTCAACTCCCGTTCGCCTCGCCCGATCACACTTTTCTTAACGCTTACGTTCGCTAGCTTACTCCCCAAGTCAAGAGTGCGTAAAGGAGTTTCACTTCAAAAAGAAAAAATAAAACGTTTATTATAATTGAAAGCATAGAACAATTGTAAATAGCCTGAAACATTTTTACCAAACACCGTAAATGACTACGAAATAATGATCATTCGTTCATTCGTAGTCATTTTTTATTTTGAGGTCTTCGATGCGAGTTGTTTGATTTTTGTATGGATCGATTATTTTCCCCAAATCGCCTATTCAGAGGGCCTGGTTTCAAATTCCGGTGAGGCAAATGTTTGTATGATGTATACGAGCATTTTTACCAATATTATATCATGATAAATAACATTAAATTCATAAAGTTATCATTTGTAAGACCTGTGTTGTGACTATCTCACTGTACCTACCAGGGATTGCTCTATTTCATTGCATCTAAAAACTAAAGAACTTAATGGGCTGCGCAAAAGAGGATTTTTTGTCTGCGGACTATTTTGTTCATCAAACAGTAGATCGCATACAAAAACTTTTATATGCAGTACTCTTAGATTAAAAAAGGGAATATATTTTTGTTTAAATTATCAGTTATGTTATATAGGGTGAAATTGAATGTTTCTATGAAACTTCGTGAGATTGTTGGGTTATGCGTATAGAGTATGCCTGTTTTTTTCGGATTTTTTTGAAGTATATTTTTTTCATGTATTTATTTATAATTTGTGTATTTTTATGTCCTTTCCTCCTTTTGAGTAGTTATTCATTTTAAACAAACAAACTTACATATCCAGTGAAAAACAACTAATAAATAAGCACTTCTAAAAAACGGAAAAACATTAAAATTCCACCGCGGGTCAACGCGCCCGCCAGCCGTTGAGTGAGTAGGTACCTACCTCTACACAGAGCTCAGCTGACTCGTTTGATTCCACACAATACAATAAAATCGTCTTAGATACCTTTATTGAAATTGAAATAATAAGCACAAATGTCATCTTCTCTTAAGCAGAGAAAATCTTTAAAAGTTAATAATAATTTTGTCACGATTGGAAATAGGCAAATGTTAAACAAAAAGAAATACTTATTGCAGTTCAATACTTGGTTCAGAATGAAATTTATAACCAGGTATTCAAAAGTACTTACGAGACCGGCGATGTAGGTAGGTACAACGAGGAACGAGGAACATATTCATTTTTTTCACTAGAACTTTCAATTAGTTGTTTCTAATCAAAAAGTATTTACACTAGCAATAAAAAGAGACTTAAATTATTATCTGCAAAATTGTTGATCTAAACCACCATTTTGCTGCAAACAAAGGTAGGCATGTTTGCGGACGTGTCTTTTCACCTTTTTTAAAGTGTCCCTATCACTACTCACTGCACAAAATGCAACTTCTATGGTTTGGGGACTCATTCGTAAACCAAACCTACTTCGTCACACTCGCGATAGCAGTACACCATCTCTAAATATTCTTGGTTCGTATACCGAGGCATAATGAAATTATCACAGTGTATGTCACTAAGTCAAAAGATGCGCACGGCCACGCGCGATTGATATACTTGCGTGTCTGCGTTTTGCATGCAATCAAAGCAAACCACCGCGTGCGGGGAAGAGGGGAGGTGGGCGGAATTCACATCATCAAAGACGCCGCAACCGGCGCTAGTTGCCAGCGTACGGCGCGCCGCCCGCCCGTGCTTGCCGCAAAACAACATATTGTTATGTGTGTGTGTGTGACTGTGGCTGTGATTAAATGTGTTGGGAATTTCATGACGTGGGCAAATCAGACACGAAGAGTTCCTTCCTTCACTAAGCTCGTAAGTTATACCGATTTGCTCTGTATGATTTTCCCCAATTTTAAATAAGCCGTTTGTGCTTAAGTTTTAATTAAACGAGGCAACTAACATTAACAATAAAAAAGAAGTTCTTACACTAACAGATAGGCTTTACCGATTTAAAATCGTGACAGTCATATTAACTTTATAGGATTTTTAATTGCTCTAACAGAAGATTTTTTTTATTGATTAATTACCTGTGCTTTATGAAATAATATTCAAAGGTATTGTGTATCAGTGAATAAATAATTATAATATAGCATCTAAGACTATTTTATTGTAATGTTTTTTAATAGTGTGGATCAAAGCGGAGAGTAGGTAAGCGCCGAGTCATCTGCGCGTGTAGTAGGTACCTACACAGGCGGCTGCCGGTCGTCGCCCCGACCGGCGCTGATCTCGACTGGAGGCATAATGAAGGCATTCATTAAGTTTCCGTTTTTTTAGTAGTGCTTATTTTAAGTTGCTTTATAACTTCTATGTAGACGTGTTTAAAATGAATAATTACTCATAAGGAAGAAATGACAAAAAAATAACCAAATAAAAAATTAAAAAACGAAAAATTTTATTTTAAAAAATCCGAAAAAAATCAGGCATACTCTATACACGTAACCCAACAATCTCACGAAGTTTCATAGAAACATTCAATTTCACCCTGTATATAATTACTTAATCATATATAAATTAACTCATATTTTGAACATTTTAAGCATTTGCATTGAAAAATAAAACATTTATTAATCGATTGTATAGGAATCGATTCCTATAGAATCAAATCGAAATATATACCATAGGCAAGTGAAGTACGTAGCTGTCAACTTGTTGTCAACGTGTTTGTTGTTTGTTCCTAGTGATCCGCAAAATATTGAAAGTATCGATACTTACTCGATACCAAGTATCGTATTAAAAGTATCGATATCGGTATAAGTATCGTATCAAAAGTGTCGATACTACTTGGTATCGAGTACTTTTTAACGTATTGAATGAAACATGACAAATGATTAGTTAAAAGTGGTTTATTACAAATGAACAGAAAAAACAACAGAAATAATTAAAACCCCCAGTCTGTTTCTGAACAATCTGATAAAAATAACAATTTATCAAGCCTTGAACCAGTAAGACGATTGCGAGCTTCGCTTATTGTTGCGCCAGCTTTAGAAAACAGGCGCTCTGAAGGCACTGATGTGCCTGGCACAATAAGGTATTTTCGTGACAATGCATAGAGCTTCGGGAATACTGACTTCATGTCTTCCCACTGCTGAAAAATGTCAGACTTTAAAGGGGAAACTGGGTTCGCAAGGTACAGCCCCACTTCATCCCTTTCTCCATCGTGTTGCTGTCTAATTCGTCTTCTGTGTGCTAATTTCCTATGTGGACTCCAAAAGTCAAATTTCTCCTCATTTTCTGACTCCGAAGACTGATTCGTAGGGCTTCTGTTATTGTCATCAGCATTGACCGTTCTCCGTATAAATGAAATAGTTCGAGCGCATGCATTTGCATCAGAAAAATGAATATTTTTGAACCTTGGATCTAGAATAGTTGCAACTGCTAAGTTACGGTTGTTTTCAATTGGGGCGAAACGTTATTGATTTCCTTTAAAAATCGCTCTTTCAGTGGTTCTACGATTCTTTTCTCATCGTCGCCATGGCATTTAATGTTTTTTATCTGTTCGCGCAAGCAGTTAACCGTTGGTATAATTTTGCTCATGGTCGAGTACTTTTCTCCAGAAATATCTCTAGTCACATATTCAAATGGTACTGCCATTTGAATATGTGACGAGACGAGCATAATTTTTTGGATGATGTTGTTTTCCATTGCAGTTAAAATATCTGGAGCATTTGGAACTTCCAGTAAGATCTCGTTCACAATGCTTCTCAGTTCTATATAACGTTCCAACATATAAAATGTTGAATTCCAGCGTGTCTTGACATCCTGCTTTAATTTTTTTTTCACCTTGTTGTTTCCTTCTCAGTAAATAGCTTTGATTCTATTGCTATGCTATTCTTAAAAAAAATTCAGGTGTTTGATAAACATTTCATATCGAATACCTTCATCTGAATATGAAGCAACTCGTTGGATTGTCTCTGCAATGGTCAATTGGGATTTCTGGATGGATCTAGAAGATGAGGATTTTGACAAAACTTGCACACTGTCACTACTTGTTCCTTCTATTACTTCACACGTGTTTGTCTGTTTCGGAGTTGACTCCGTTGCATCAGATGCTGTTTCCTGTGCAGTGGTCTCATCCTGCGAAGTACTGGGGCTGGGGTTGTTCGTTAAACTTGGAGCTTTTTTCTTAGGCATAGCTTTTTCTTTCGAACTGAAATAAAAGAATGAACTGAATGAAAAAGACCAAGAAAAAGAAGAATGAGTTATACGTAGTTACCCACTATTTTGTACTAAATTGTTCATTATTATAATACGCGTCCACATAGAATTTATATAAATAATAAAATTAGGTATTTCTTTCTATCCATAGAGAGAACTTACCTTTGTGAGTGAGAAGTC